GGGCAAAGAACTCCACCTGTTTTGTGAACCTGTTTTTTCATCTTCATGTTGGGTGTGATGGTCTGACCAGGTGAGGGAGTTGTAAACATCACATGAAGTCCAGTAGCAAGAAATTGTGACTGCCCCACACATAATTATGTACTATATATTTTATTGTTTAGAGTGTACAAGAAAAGTCAGACAGTGGAGGTGAGATCAGAAACGTTTGAGTGGAAACCGACTAGTCTCTCTTGTGTACCAGGAGAAGCCTTTTGGCTTGTCTTGAATGGTATCAGTGGGAAGAGGGGCTATTGTTGGTGATTTTCCTTGTGCCTTAATGAGTTCCTCACTAGTGGAGCTGTACAAGCAGACCGATTGTAATCTGTGGGCTTCTCTTTGTATTTTGGCAGTGTGATTGGCTCACTAATGGCCATCATAAATGCTCGCCTCCTAAACTCTGGCATATTACATTTGTAAGGGTTACAAATATATAAAAGGGACTTTGCAGATGACATTAAACTAAGGATCTTGAAATGAAGAACCTACCCTGGTTTACTCAGGTTGGCCCTGTATCTGTGCCTGTATAAGAGAGCGGCAGGAGGATCAGAGTTAGCAAAGGAGGTGTGGCAACAGAAGCAGAGTCAGGTTGGAAGCTGGAGGAAGGAGCCATGGCCTCTGTCGAAGGTGTACAAGGAATGCAGCTCTGAGAGAGGGAAGGCGTCACCTTCTCCCTGGGTTCAGCCTAGTGAAAGCCTATTTGAACTTCTGAACTGTGAGATAATGAATCTGTGGTGATTTGTTACAGCAGCCATGGGAAGGAAATGCAGACTCCAAGTGGGACATTACGTTAAATGGCGTCCCAAACCTGACCAACACATGACCCAAACCTGAGAAGGAGATGGACTCTGTTTGATGTTGGTAGGTCAGTCAGTGAAATAATGCCCATTACTTAGAGATTTTGAGACTCCAGGTCCTGAGGATCTAACGAGTGAAGAGTCTCAGACTGTGGGATTCTAAGTTTTCAAGTTCTATCTTCCTTCTGATGAGAGTGAGAGGTGCCAGACGTGCAGTCTGGGGCGGACACTCACCTTCCACCTCAGGATGCTTCATCAGAAGCAAGAATCCGTAGCGGAGTGTGGAGCTCACAGTCTCTGTGCCAGCGGAGAAGAGGTTCAGAGTGGTGAGGACCAAGTTCCTGAGGTTGAATTCTGTGTGGGGATTGTTTTTATCCTGAAAGCGAGGGGGATAGTACATAGAATCACTCTCTTCTGTCTCGATTTTCTTATTTTCTCCCTGTGTGTGGGGACCCATAGACGGGTAAACTATGAGTGTGTGGGAGAAGCAACAGGTGGGGCAACGGTGCTGAGGCGGCAATGTTCCTGGTGTGACAGAGGAACCGCAAGGCAGAGGCCGCGTGGTGGAGTCGGGGGAACAATGGGGAGAATGGGAGGAGAACGGTGCATGCCTTGGAAGCCTGGAAAGTCTGGGACATTTGTGTATATGATCAATGCTTAAGTTCTACTATATGGTATAAAAATAGCAATTCCAAATGCTTAAGTTCTACTATATGGTATAAAAATAGCAATTCCAAATGCTTAAGTTCTACTATATGGTATAAAAATAGAAACTTATATAACTCTAAGAATTGATGATACTGATGTATTAAGTTTCTAAATGTCTACATCTCTAAACGTTTAAACTTTTAATTTAAAACTCTTTAGTTTAAAGACTTTAAACTTCTAGGTTTTCCAAATTTTAATACTCTAAAAGGCTACAGTTGTAATGCTATGGCACATATGAATAGAAAGGGTAAAATTTTAAGTTTCTACTTTCCTAAAATGTCTGCATTCCATATTAATTTAATTTAATTTATTTCTTTTTGAGACAGAGTCTTACTTTGTCACTTTTGGTAGAATGCCATGGCACCATAATTCACAGCAACCTCAAACTCTCGGGCTTAAGTGATCTTCTTGCCTCAGCCTCCCAGGTACCTGAGACTACAGGCCCCTGTCACAACCCCTGGCTATTTTTAGAGACAGTGTCTCACTCTTGCTCAGGCTGGTCTTAAACTCCTGAGCTCAACCAATCCATCCATCTTGGCCTCCTAGAGTGCTAGGAATACAGGCATCAGGTACTGCACTCAGCCTGAGTTAATTTTAAAGGTATAAGAATTCATAATTTTTCATTTTCTATAATTCAGCTATAGATATAAGTAATCTATTTGAAGTAATAACTTGTTCTCTTCCTCCCTCACATTTGTAGATGGGTTTAACGGTGCAGGCAGTAGAGAGGGAGGAGGTGAGAGGAAAGGATTCGGGAAGGGGAGGAGGCACCTGGTGCATCTTGATGAGGAAGCAGTCAATGAAGTCCCGTGGGTTTTGGGGGTCAAGGGATGCTTCGTTGATCTTGACCTTGGAAGCAACAAAGTCCTTGAGCTCCTCTATCAGGTGGTACATGTGATTATGTCTTCCTGGCAAATATTGCATGATTTCAGGGTACGTGTTGTATAGCTGTGGGAACCAGCAAAGGGATTTGTCAGTGGTCAGCACCAGGGCCTGAGTGGAATCAGACAGCCGGGCTCAACATCTGGTGCTGGGTCCAAGAAGTGATTGATGCTCTTTTGCTTCTTGGACACCTGGTCCAATAAGCATTAGTTCCCCCCTTACTGTGGTTTCACTTTTCACCATTTCCTTTACCCTCAGTCAACTGAGGTCTGAAAATACTATATACAATAAAGGAGAGAGAGCGAGAACTAGCACATTCATGTACCTTTCATTAGAGTATATTATACTTCACAAACTTTATCATAGATAGGCATGTTTAGGAAAAACTTAATATGTGGAGGATTTGGTACCATCCAGAGTTTCAGGCATCCCCTGGGAGTTTTGGAACATATCCCTTGGGGATGAGGGAGACTACTGTACTTGCCTCCCACAGTTGTGGGAGGATTGAGTGGAGTATAAGAAGGCGCTTAGTCAACTGTTGTGGGCGGCGTGGGTAGAGAGGGGGCTAGGTGGCACCTGTGTCCAGGGCGTGCTCATCTCAGTGAAAGTCTCATTCATCAGCTGCAGCAGGTGCAGGAATTGCTTATCCTCATAGTCAAAGCGACTTCCGAAGACCACAGAACTGATGACATTGGAGACGGTTCGGCTCAGGAAGAAGGTGGGTTCGATGGGGGCACCTGGGTGGTAGAAATTGTGTTGGAAGCATTGATTAGGAAGAAGAGGAATCATTCTGTCATGGATTTGAGTCCAGCTGTGTTGCTCAATAGCATGTGTGAGGCACTTCGTTTTTGTGTTTTGCATCTAGATTTCCCAATCCGCAAACTGGTTTAGAAACTACTTTATTCGTTCACAAGCATTCACTATAATCATCCACATAAAATGCTTTCCTGCTGTGCCTGACATGTAGTAAGCACTCAAGAAATGCTGGCAGAGCTTAATAGTTATGTTTTGTCCTCATTGCTTATGTATATTGGTTTTGGGGAGTCATGTATTTGTGAAAAGAAGTGATGGTAAGAACAAATTAAAAAGAAAAGAATGAAAGAATGCCCGAATTCTGTGTAGCTCTATCTCTGATTGACATTTGGGCTATTAAGAAAATCCTTCCAGGCTTGGCGCCTATAGCTCAACTGGCTAAGGCGCCAGCCACGTACACCTAGGGTGGCGGGTTCGAATCCCCAGCCCGGACCCGCCAAACAACAATGACGGCTGCAACCAAAAAATAGCCGGGCGTTGTGGCGGGCACCTGTGGTCCCAGCTACTTGGGAGGCAGAGGCAGGAGACTCGCTTGAGCCCAGGAGTTGGAGGTTGCTGTGAGCTGAGATGCCATGGCACTCTACCCAGGGGGACAGCTTGAGGCTCTGTCTCAAAAAAAAAAAAAAAAAAAAAGAAAATCCTTCCATAGGCTTTAGCTCCACCATGTGTGAAACAGGCTGCTAGGCACATCAGAGGATTTGGAGGTAATTCCTCTGGAACAACACACATATTCACCAATTTACAGTTTCACAACAAATTGCTGTGGGGATGTGGACATGTGAAGCCTTTATATGGACGCTGTTTAGGTGAGGGACCTCTGATTTAGAGAAATGTCCCTCTCTTTCTATTTCTGATCTGTTTATCTCTATATTTCTCAGCCTCTGTTCTTTTCTCTGTAGGCATCGTGTTTCCATGCTTTATTTTCTTGGTGGGACTGGACTCCTTTAAAATATAATGAGATAGGGTGGTGCCTGTGGTTCAAGGAGTAGGTCATCGGCCTAATATGCCGAGGGTGGCGGGTTTAAGCCCAGCCCCAGCCAAAACCTGCAACAACAACAAAATAAATAAAATAAAATGAGATGATTATAAAGCTTCATATTCTCAAGATGGAAAAGTTCTAAAGATTTCTTTCACAGCAATGTGAATATACTCAATATTGTTGAACTGCACATTTAGAAATGGGAAAAATGGCAAATTTTATTTTATGTCCTTTTTTAAGTTTTGGTCTTGTGTTTGTGCTATTTGTTTGTGCTTTTTGAGACAGAGTCTTACTGTCTTGTGCAAGCTAGTACCATGGCATCAGCCTAGCTCGCAGCAACCTCAACCTCTTGGGTTCAAGTGATCCTTCTGCTTCAGTCTCCAAGTAACTGGAAGTATAGTTGCCCATCACAATGCCTGCCTATTTTTTCTCTTTTTCATAGAGACGGGGTCTCATTCTTGCTCAGGCTGGTCATGAGCTCCTGAGCTCAAATCATTCTTCCATCTCAGCCTCCCACAGTCCTAGGATTACAGAAGTAAGCCATCATACCTGCTATATGTGCCTTTATGTAATATAATGCAATTTGATCCTGTCCCCAGAAAGGGGTATAAAATATGCATATGATATCAGGAGCTCACAGACTTTGTGAGATCCCTTCATTAAGATTTCTGGAAATGTCTCTACAGGTCTTCCATGTTAACATTTTTTCTCTGTCTCTTTGGCTCAAGTGCAGGGTGTCATTGTAGCTTACAACAGCCTCAAACTCCTAGACTCAAGGTATCCCCTGCCTCAGCCTCCAGAGTAACTGAGACTACAGACACACCACCATGCTCTGCTAATTTTTCTATTTTTAGTAGAGACAGGGTCTCACTCTTGTAAAGGCTAATCTCCAACACCCGAACTCAAATGAGCCTCTCACTTTTGCCTATCAGAGTGCCAGGATAACAGGTGTGAGCCACCTGGCCCATGTCAACTTTTAACATGAAACCTCACCAGAAATCACAGTGAATCCTTAATATTTACTATCTTCTTGCATGCCAGACCTTTCTCCCACCAAGGCCCATCTCCTCATGACTGGGCTTTCTGTAACCACCAGTCACCTAGCGTCTGCCCCCTTGTGGCCTCCTTACCCTTGGTCTTCCGCAATTCCTCCAGTAGGTAGCCGGCCTCTTCCTGGATCCTCTCCTCAATGCTCCGCTTACCCATCCCAAAGTCTCGAAGGATGGTCAGAGAGAAGCGTCTGAGAATCTTCCATCGATCTCCATTGGCCATAACTACACCTGCAAGACCTTAGTGTCAGGCTTCTGCCTGCACTCCCCTTCCTGTGTTCAACTCTGTGCTACATAATGAAGGGGACAGATTATAAAACCTCTAGACACTATTGTTACGGAAGTCCCTCCCAGTTCTTCAGGCTCAATGAAGAGACTAATATTCCATCCCTGCAGGATCCTCCAAACCAGACTAGACTGAGGTGGGAGAAAAGGGAATCTCTTTAGGAATGATGGAGGACATCAAAGGGATTTCTTACAAGAAGGAGACATGAAACTGAATGAATGAATAAATAAGTAAATGGATAAATGCATGGAAGCTGGAAGGAGGTAAGCAGAGAATGCATCTAGAGTAATATAAAATCAGGTACTAATGTTTGTGAATAAACTTGGATTCTCTAGACATATATACATATGTGTACACAGAAGCTCACACTTCTACATGAATATATCTAAAGAAAAAGAGTTACCATGTGGGAAGAAATATTTCAAAATTACCAAATGTATACATTGATTACAATCTCATGCTAATACATTAGAAGTAAATCTTTCTTTTTGAGACAGAGCCTCAAGCTGTCCTCCTGGGTAGAGTGCCGTGGCATCACAGCTCACAGTAACCTCCAACTCCTGGGCTCAAGAGAATCTCCTGCCTCAGCCTCACAAGCAGCTGGGACCACAGGCACCCGCCACAACACCCGGCTATTTTTTAGTTGCAGCCATCATTGTTGTTTGGCAGGCCCAGGCTGGATTTGAACCTGCCACCTTAGGTGTATGTGGCTGGCGCCTTAGCCACTTGAGCCACAGGCACTGAGCCAAGTAAATCTTTCTTTCCAGCCATTATTTATCTATTTCAAATCATCAATCCATTAAAGTTTCACCCAGCTATGAAGTCTTTCATCCATCCAACCATCCATAAGACATTCATATCATAAACTCTTTCTTCTATTCACAAATATCATTCAAAATAATTTCAGTCAATATCTACGAATAGACATATGGAGGATGTATGGGTTAATGAATGGATGGAGGAAATGATGGATAGAGAAAGAGAATGTTAATTGATAGATGTGTAGATAACAGAATAAAAGATGTTTGTATAAATGAATAATTAATGAATAAGTTTTAAATGAATTTTTATATCAGTGAACATTAGGAAGAAAAGGTACAGGGATAGGGAGATGAAAGGATAGAAAGAATGGAGTGAGCCTGCTCAAAACTGAAGGATCTGGGCATTTAGAGATGCTTGTATTGGACAAATGAATCTACCTAATGGGGGGGTAAGGGACATATGAGTTAGGTATGTGCTTGTGCTTACGAAGATGAAAAGTAACATCGGGGGTGGTGCCCCTAGGGCGCAGGGCACATACACCCAGGCTGGTGGGTTCAAATCCAGCCTGGGCCAGCTAAACAGCAATGACAACTGCAACAACAACAACAAAATAGCCGGGCACTGTGGCAGATGCCTGTAGTCCCAGCTACTTGTGAGGCTGAGGCAAGAGAATTGCTTAAGCCCAAGAGTTGGAGATTGCTGTGAGCTGTGCTGCAGCTCAAGGGTGACAGAGTGAGAGTCTGTCTCAAAAAATTAACTTTGGCTATCAGGGTTTTAGGGGCTACAGAAAGAGTATCACTCAGTAATCTAAGAATAGAAAGAACAGAAGTGACCCAGAAAATACTCTAGAAACAGATGGTGTGGGTTCAAATAAAGTGGATGCACCACCCACTGTGTAACATAACCTAACTGTTCTTATCCACAGACTTTTCATTTACAATAGAGTATAATATTAATAGCTCTCCGAAAGGAGATGCTACAATAATTCATGTAGAGCAAATATCAAAGAACTTGAAACACAAGGAGTACATTATAATCGTCTCTATTTTCATTGTTGTTGTTGTTGCTACCTACCATAACCTTGGAAATTTCGCTCTGTTATAGCCAATCCTCCACGGCCACTGAAGTCATCTCCTTGGTCTACCAGAGCTTCCTTCACTACTTCATGTCCACATAACACCACTACTGGCCGAAGTCCCATGTACACAGTGAACACGGGGCCATATTTCTCCCTGAGCTGGGAGTGAAGGAAGACATAAGAGGAGGTGTTAATCAGAATACCAAATATAGACAAATCAAGGGTTTTAGGGGATGGAGACTTCAGAGTGATATAAATGTGGGAATCATGAATAAAGCTAACCTCTGGGCTTGGGAATCCTACTACTGGGAAAGGGGCACAGAAATCTTGGGTCCTGTGATCTTGGGCGAGAACCCACTAACACTTCCTGAAAGACTTAGATACCTCATCTGTAAAATATTAAACCTGGATTAGAGGTATTCCAAGACTCATGCTTCCCCCTGAAATGTTACATTTCTCAAATGTTTCAATTTCATGACACTAAGTCTCAAAGCTCTAAGACAACCTGAGGTCAAGGGTCCTTACAGTCCTTAGATTGTGAGAGTCTTATTTCAATGCTCTAGGAATTTTTGCTTCCAAATTTTACAATTCTGGAATTGAAGGATGCTAGGATTTGGCAAGTCTGTGTTTCTAAGAGTCTATTTTTGATATGCCATGAGATTGCATGTGTATCCAGCATTATTTCCTTCCAACCATAAGAGAGGAGACTCACCTTCATGAAAGACTGAAATGTGGCATCAGGGCGAACTTGTAGCAGGTTCCCCAGGAAAGGTATTGGTGTGGGACCTGGGGGAAGCTTTCCCCCCTTGTTGATTCGTTTCCAGACAAGAATGATGGTCAGACAAGTCAAGCAGAGTTCCAGAAAGATGGTCAAGGCTCCTCCCAGCTCCATGGTGGTAACAGGCCAAAGGGTTGTATCTGGGTGCCGGATCCTGCCTAAATAGGTTCTGGGAAATCAGCTTATACAGAAACCTGAACACCCTAGGATTCAAATTTTCTGGGCATGGATGCATTAGGAAAGACACTGCTTTATCTGGAGGATGGTATATAACCTATAATCTTCCCACCTGAATAAAGGTATATTGTTTTGTGATGTCTGAGTACCACCTGTGTATTTATTTAATATAGAAAAGTGACTATTGTGTTTAACAACTTAAAGTTATTCCAGAGGGAAGCTTGATCTCTCTCTCCTTAACCAAAAATTAGCTGTGCTCTATCGTACCTATTAAAATACCTGTGTTTTAGTTATCTAACACTGCATAACAAAACAACTGAGAACTTAGTGGCTTACGATAACAATAATGCTTTGTTATTTGCCACACTTTCTGGATGTCAATGTAATTTAATTCCATAATCTTATATGTCCATTGAGAAGTCTTCCTAGTGCTTATACCCATCGCAACTTCTCTCACTCTCAAACTTTAGGTTAGGGTGTCAGCCAAGAGCTATGGCATGTCAGATCTTAAAGAAGTTTTAGAAGAAACATTTTAGTTCTGAGTTTCTCAAATATTTTTAGTCCAGGGTTTCTGAGAACATTTTAAATTCAGAGTTCAGTGGTACTTCCAATCCCATCATGGAATATAGATTATAAGGTGGGAGGCATTGCAAGATTCTTTGGAAAGAGGATAAATGTATGGATTTAGAACTTTCAAGTGATGATAATAAATATATTTAACAACTGGGCAGCACAGACACTGATTGGAGATGGAGCAGGCCCCTACGTGCTGAATTATGGGGTGATTGATCCTGGAGAAGTGGCTGAGCTACCCATTTACCACCTGCTATAGTTAGGATGCTTGTACCCCCTAACTTGATGTTGAAAATTTATTCCCTGTTGTTGAGATGAGGTCTCATGGGAGATGTTTGTGTCTTGGTGCAGATCCCTCATGAGTGGCTTGGTACCCTCCCTGAGCTAATGAGTGAGCTCTTGCTCTGGTAGTTGCTTGAGTGCTTGTTAGTAAAAAGAACCCAGTGCCTTCCTTCTCTTCCCCTTTACTTCCTCTCTTGCCATGTGGTCTCTGCACATGTTGGCTCCATTTGCCTTTTGCCATGAGTGGAAGAAGCTAAAGCCCTTCCCAGAAGCAGATGCTGGCATCATACTTCCTGTACAGCCTGAAGATTGAGAGCCAAATACACTTCTTTATAAGTTACCCAGCCTCAGTTATTGCTTTATAGCAACATCAAATGAACTAAAATGCCAACCTCTGTCAAAAGATGCCTCTGACACTCAGAGGGCCACACCAGTATGCATGTGTTAAATTCTAGTACTAGGCATTGTCCTCCATAAGTTGCCTTCTTTCCAGGACAGGAGCCTCAGGGAGACTAAATGCAGAACTTGTAGGTGAAGAGCAGTGGCATAGTGGAGCTTTTTCAAGAGCTGATTATTAAATGTTCAGTAGTTATATGAAAATTATGTAAACTAAAATTTGAATGCATTATGCTTTTGGAAGAAAGTAACAAATACTCAAAGCCCATCAATTCCTAATTATTTTCTCACATTTTACCACTATGTATGCTATTGAGATTATTTATGTTCAGTGTGTGTGTATGGTGAAAATACCGTATGATGTGGTTCTGCCATTTCTTCCCAACTCCATGTTCAGTGACAGCATGTACGTTGGTTGAAATTAGCCATCATGGTAGATTTACACCACAGAAATCAGAAAACCCTACAAATCTAGTTTTCAGTTTTCTGTGGATTCTTCCCTCTTGGAGTGGGTGATCAGCTTTAGTAAAGGAAGTACTTCTTGGGGAAGGGACAGAATGACCTTTCACCTTCTCCTGGATGCTTTCATCAAGAGTGAAAAGGTACAGCCAGTGGAAAGATGTTGCTGACAGTCTCAACCAGGAGTGAACTTGTAGAGTCCCAAGAACCAAATTCTAAATGAAAGCCCATGAAGTGAGAATAAGATGAAGTCTTTCAGGCTAGGGTAGACATGACACAGCTGGTCTGGTCAGTTTAAGCCAGCAGTTCTCAACCTGTGGATCGTGACCTTTCTGGGGGGTCTCCTACATATCATATATTTACATTACAATTCATAACAGTAGCAAAATTACAGTTATGAAGTAGCAATGAAAATTATATTATGGTTGGGGGTCACCACGACATGAGGAACTGTATTAAAGTGTCACTGCGTTAGGAAGGTTGAGAACCACTGGTTTAAGTCCTTCCTGACCTGATTCACTTCCTGTCTCCCATTTGACAAAGCTGGTCTGGTCAGTTTAAGTCCTTTCTGACCTTCACCTCCTGTCTCCCATTCTTACTGTTTTATGAATTAAGCTCCCAACCTAAAGATGCCTATCTTGAGTAGTTTAGGTGGATTGATTTAGGAAATTGACTTTTGATTGAAATGTTGTTTTAGGTCATGGGTTATATTGATTATTGTTTTCTATGGGTCATGGTTTCTGCTGATTATTACTTAAGGGTTAACATGATCTCCACTTTGAATTTAAATGTTTACAACTGTAACTTTGGAAATTGTAGAACAGAACAGTCTTGGATAGGCTACTCTCACCGTTTTCCAGAATCCTGGCCTTCTGACAGTTTGGTGGACCTACCCACATCTCTACATATTGGCTGCTAATGGCAGGCAGCCAGACCCTCTTCATCCGGTAGTATTTCTAAAAATGATGAAGGAATCCCTAGACTTCCCCAGTTGGTGCTGTGTAAGTTCTGCCTGGGAACCCTCACTGTCACCTGAACAGGCAGGCCTTCTAGCAGCACTGCAGGGAGATTTCTCCTGGGAGCCTTGGGGCTCTCCTCTCATGCACCTGCCATTGCTAATTACTAAGGTCTACTTGGTTTATTCTGGTTGTGCGCTGAGAAATTTAGTTCTCTTCAGATCTGCTTTAGTTCTTGAGAATTTTGGTGTTTCTGTATCTGGTGTGTATTATGGAAGATTATGTCTCAATCCCAAATGACAGCCCATTGATGTGTAGTCTGTCTGCTTGGTGTCAGTATGGGTACCCACCTATAACTAAAAAGCAATGAAATTTCACTGTAACCTGGCCAGGCCAAGATATCTATCATCTTGACTCTAGAGAAAAGTAGCCTTTGAATGGATCCTTGAATTATTATAATGATGCTATACTGTTTAAAATACAAGTCTGGTTAAAATATTTATGTTTGTTCTTTTTCTTGGAAGGATTTATGAGTTTAAAAGCAGTAATTGAAACTATATTTCTATATCTAATTTATAAGGTATAAAATGGTTAACAGAAAAATAACTTCAAATGATAACTAAAACTTAGTTAAATTGCTAAGATAAATAAATTAGGTAATTAAAAAATTAATATGTTGAATAAAAATGTATGTTTAAAAGCCAGCAAATATAAATTCTGCTTCTATCTGTATGCCTGTTTTTGTGTCTGTATTTGTCATGTGCCTGTGATGCTTCACTATCGAAACATACAAAAGAGCTCAATTAATTGGCTTTAAAAAAAAAAAGAAAAAGTAAGCGCTTACATCAAGTATTTATCAGGAAAACAGAAAAGAACTCAAATGCCTTTTTGTTCAGGTGATTTTGGTATCCTTTGATAAATAAAAATAGTTTTAAACCTGTTATTGAAGTTCAGATGTTTAAAGATTATGCAACTGCCACTTGTGTAATATTTCTAAATTTTGCTGATTTGACTGTGAGCTTATGTTCTTGATTTTGTAAAATTCTGAATTCTGTGTCAGATAGGCAGGCGGCTGTGGTAAGACCTACGAACATTTTCTCCTTGCCTAGGAAAGCAGCTACAAGGCACAGTCTATCCCACATGGACCCTTCCCTGCCCCAACTTTACCCCCTGGCTATTCTGAGAGAAACTGAACACTCCAGTCTTCCTGCTTTCTGCCTTGAACTCTGTACCTGGTAAATGAATGAAGGACACAGATAAGTCCTGTCCTCTGCACCTATCTTTTTTTTTTGGTGGCTGGGGCTGGGTTCAAACCCACCACTTCTGGCATATAGGGCCAGCACCCTACTCCTTTGAGCCACAGGCACCGCCCTCTCTGCCCCCATCTTTGAAGCCACGTGGCCATGTGAGACGTAGGAGGACAAGGAAAAGGTATCAGAAATGATGTCTATGTTGTGGTTTCAAAACATTTTTCAGCAACTTAAAACCTTAAAGTCGTGTTATTTTTCATAAAATGTCTGAGTTATTTGTAAAGTATAATACTTCCACTGTTTAGATTGTTTGGGAAATTGAGTCTTTATCAAAGAATAAGGTTTTTACAGCTTGGCGCCTGTAGTTCAAGTGGGTAAGGCGCCAGCCACATACACCGGAGCTGGCGGGTTCAAATCCAGCCTGGGCCCACCAAACAATGACAACTATAACCAAAAAACAGCTGGGCATTGTAGTGGGTGCCTCTCAGCTACTCGGGAGGCTGAGACAAGAGAATCAACTAAGCTAAAAGCTGGAGGCTGCTGTGAGCTGTGATGCGAAAAAAGATTTTTGCCATTTATATCTGCTAATTATCAGTCTGGCCAACTGAATGATTAACTTTATGGTAAACTGTGATCCTGTTTTGTGAAAAGTGGGGTTTAGGCAGTTAAGAAAGATTAAACAGAAAGGAAAATAGCACATGTAAGAAAGGATCACATGTGGTGAATTTTGTCCTGAAGCACAATGACTGATTATTTAAGAAAAGTGAAAGGCAGGACCAAACAGAAAGTTTAGCATGTTTGTAGATTATCTGTACGGGTTGAATAGAACTCATAAAAGGAAATTTGTGAAAGAATTTACATGTGATCCAGTTAATAATATTGACTTTAAAATCTTTTGGCCTGTGATCATATTTGAATAAATGTTTTAAGCTTTTGATATTTGGCAAACCTTCCAAAATCAAAACTCTAAATTCAGTGTTTTAAAATATTAAGACCACTGAATGTCTGAGAAAGACATATAAGGCTTATTCGCTGTGTTCAAACTGTATAGGAAATATTGTCAAA